TTATAAGTCTGGTGTTTCAGTTGATTTCCTATTTAAAAACAAATACATTAAATTTACAGCAAAACAGCAGTAAGATATGCTCACAAATTTTTTAGTTAGCCGGTTTCTTTTTTGAAGATAGATAGATGTACCCATCACAGAGTTAATTATTTTGCAATTAACGCCCAGTTCCTTGATGATAGAAAAAAGTTGTTACACAAACTTTGGCGGTACGGGATACTGAAGTGCATCATACAAGTAGCTATTTGCAAGTACTAGTTGTGAATATTCTTACAGAATTTTCTATTAATAAGGAACAAATATTATGCATTGTTACCGATAATGCAACCAATATGCTCAGCACCGTAAAGAAGCTTAATGAAGATGTACCAGCATTTAATATGGATGAAAATTAAGATTCAGAAGAAGAAATTAATGATAATTTTAATTTAGATGGATTTGTGAATGATGCTTTAGATATTTCCCAGATACATCACATGCGCTGCGCTGTGCATACATTGCAACTTGCAATTCGCGATGGCTTGAGAGAATACCATGCTATTGGTTTGCTCTGCAAGAAACCATAACACTCCTTTATTTTGGTGCTCTGCAAGAAACCATAACACTCCTTTTTTTTGCAATCGATTGGTTGCAAAAAAAAGGAGTGTTATGGTTTCTTGCAGAGCACCAAAAATTGATGCCATACTGAAGTGTTGTGCTGGAAAAGGGGCCATTTTAGATCAAGCTACACGCTGGGGCAGTACTTATTTGATGATTGAGTGTATCATTGAACTAAAACATTTTCTTACTGACATGGTTAACCCAGCCGTAACATTGACGGATACGCGATGAGAAAAAGTAAAAAAAAACTTAAATGTCTTCTTTGTGAACCTTATATCGCCACAAAAAAACTACAAACAGCAAATTTAACTGCTGGTATGTTTTATAAAGAATGGTGTCATTTTATTTTCTGTTTTTCTAAATCTAATTGTAAAATAGCTGAAGGAAAAAAAAAAGATAGGCAAAGAAAGTACCCTCCTCGACAATGAGATCTTACTAGCGGGTATCTACGTAGATCCTATGATCCGAGTGTTACTTACTGGAGAACGTCAAATTAGAGTTAAAGATTCTTTGTATGAATTAGCCATTTGAATCAAAGGAATAGGTTTGCAAGATGAACAACGTATTGATATATCTTCATATTCATCAAATCTAATTCCTGGGGCCGAAGATGATTTTGAAAAATATTTGGATGAGCAAGAGCAATCCAAGTGTCGTTGAAGTGTCGTTTGTCAAGTTGTAGCTGAGAAAATACAACAATTTTAGGTAAATTTAAAATAGACTTTTACCAAGCTTTGAAAGAGGTAGAGAAATTTGACCTTTCTTAAAATTTAGCAGTAAACGATGCAATTCACAGATACCCTGAGGCTGCTCTGACTGTGATGGCATTGCCGCCGACACAAGTCTCCGTAGAACGGTTATTTTCTGCACTCAGAATTATCAGATCCAATTTGAGAGCATCAATGAAACCGGATATTATTGAAGCTATTTTATTTCTAAGGAAATAATAATGCAGATTAATTTTTTTAAATTTGGTTATTTTATAAAATTTTGTTTACTGTTAAAGGAATTAATAAAAATAAATAAAATATTAGATGATATTGATTCTTTTCTATTAATTATTAATTGTCACCATGTTTATAAATCGGAGTCAGAGTCGTACTCTGAAAATTTCAACGATTGGAGTCGAAATTGGTACTTTTTTTTTTACGACATCACATCCCTGTTAAAAACTGCAGTTTTAATGTAACATTAAGGTAATTAAAAATTTTGATATTAGATTGAATGGAAATACTGTTTTGTTTAAATATTTGAGCAAAATGGTTCTTAATTTTTTTTTCATTTTTGGAAAAAAAACCGCTTGGGTTTTAAAACAGGGCTAAGCCATCATATCTGTATAATCCAAAATCACACTTGCAATAAAATTGTAAAATCAGGAAAAGAAGAAAAATACTAATTAATTTGCACACTTCCGCTCCATCAAATGCACCCATGGTAACATCAATTTTTTTTAAATAAAAAATATTTTTATAAATTATTTTTTGTGTAGGCATGATAAATTTAAAGGTTTGAAACTATTTTCCCATGTCTTCCTAAAAATCTTTCAAAGCATTAATTTTAGAAAGATTTTTTTAACTTTAATTTATGAATAAGTTCAAAACCTTTGGCCACAACTAGCTTCTACACATTTTATGTGAATTATACAAGAATATAAAATAACTTTATTTACAAATATAAGCATGTATTTTTTAGATCAATGCAAATGTTTTGAAGCATTTTGTAAAGTTCATATGATTAATTTTTATAACTTACGATTTTTTAAAACCTTTTAAGCAAACATTTTATTTTTTGAAAAACAATTTTTTCTCTAATTACGATAGGAATGAATGAGTTGAAATCGTTAAGTGAAGCACTTAATAATAAAGTTACAATGCTCAAATTAAAATTAAATTATTTGTTGGCAGTTTATTTAATTTAAATCGCAGGCGCATTTTATTTATTTTTTTCCTATTTTTACGGTTAAAAGAGTTAGAAACCTTTTTTTTAACTAGACATTAATTAGAGCATGAAATTATTAAAATTTACCATTTTAAAAAGATTAGGTTATTTTTTTAAACAATTTTTTTTTTGCAACTTTTTTGAAAAAATAAATGTTAATACAATTTAAAAATATCAAATACAACACTTTTTAATAAATTTGATAAATATTGTTCATTTATTAAACAATCGTTAATAGTAATTTGTTAATTTAAAAGAATTTTGCGTAACTTTAATAAAGAGTTTAAAAAAATTTATTTCAAACGCGATTAAAACAATAAAAAAAAGTTTCGCTTGGAGTTCAAGTTTTTATTTTTAATTTTTATTATAGTGCTTATGCAATTTCTTTTTCGTAAAGAATTTTTACGCTTCTTTTTTCTATAGGGATTTTTTTTTCGTTAGTTTTTTTTTAAACTTTTTTCCTAGTTCAAGTTTAGCTTAGCGTTTCTACGTTCAGCGCATTTCTGAAATTTTTAAATCATTAAAACATATATACAAGTGGTCAAGTTGTCAAGAAATAAAATCATTTGTGTGGTCAGCAATAGCGCTCGATCGCACGCCATTCCTGTCCGAGCCTGTGGTAGCATATTTTTCTGCAAAGTGAACGGAATTGATAAATAGATTTTTGATAATAGAAGGGTAAAAGACAACAATGTCAAATATAAGGAATTTATAAAAATGTTTTTCATTGATGTTTTTGAACTAATTTATTATGTTTTGTGTACTACTCCATTGATTTAAATGCGAAATATTTCTAAGGTTGGCGTTAATATCAGATAAAATATGTTTACTTGTTCTAACAACTTCATTCTTAGCTGGGTTAATCTTATGAGTAGTAGGGTTATTTAAAAAATTTGATTTGGTCTTTAAGTGTAATGAAACAATTGGAAAAACTGTTTATATTAATTTTGTAAAAAACATTGTGATTCTTCAAGCAATTGGAAGAACTGTTTATATTAATTATGTAAAAAACATTGATTCTTCAAAACAGTTTTTCCTTCTTTATTAATGTGATTTTTTATTATAGGGTTTATTTTTTTATAATTAAATGTAGTATTCATAGTGTTCATTATCAACTTATTCTATTTGTCTTTTGATAATTTATATAAATTTGATGTTTTATCTGTGTAAATGTAAATATACGTTAATTTTCAAATTAACGTATATTTACAGGAGGTTACATGTCTTTTTTAAATTTATTTTGGACCTACATTGAACAATCTGAAACTGTATGTTTTTAATTAATTTGATTAAATTGCATTCAAATGCACGCATATCTTGTGGACTTTGTGGTGTGTTAATACAATAAGAATTAAAAGCGTTATTATTATTACTATTATTATTAATATTAATAATAGTAAAATTTTTTATTATAACATATTATATAAGATATTATTTTATTATAATATTAATTATAAGACTTTTAATTCTTATGGTATTAACGTACAACATTGTCTACAACAGATTAAAGATATGAGTGCATTATTAAGGCATTATTCATGAAAAAAAACGCCTTTCAACTTGTTCTTTTAATCAAAATTGTCATTTTTTTCAAGCAATCTTTATTTGATGGTATAGGTATATTTTTTATTGAATAATTGAAATTAATTTTTAACAACTTAAAAATAGTGCAAAATAGGAGGAGCAATAAGTTTATTGATGTTTACTATTTTTGATACTGTTTGAAATTCTTGTCTGTTCAAGAGTGATCAATACCTTTTTTTTTTTTTTTAAATAGATCAAATTATATTAAAATAATTTAAATTAAAAAATACAACTTTATAATGGAACTTAAAGTTTCATGCCTTATGGCAATCATCAGCCATATTATTCAAAAACACATTTTTGATATGTTTTAAGATATATATACACACACACATATATACACTCTAAGGTGCAGTTTGTTAACAAATACAGATATATTCCATTCTCCATAATCAGCACTTTTTGCTTGTATATTTAATTTTGAATGTAATATCTCTTTAAAAAAATCAAATGGTTTTAGTTAAATATGATTGTTACAGGCATTTTTGTTATGCATTCCAAACATCTTAAATGTTTTTGGTTGTTAATTTATGCAAATATTTACATATGTACACACAATTTGATTGGATCTCTGTATCTCTGTAGCAAATAGCAAGATCTCTGTAGCAATTTCTTGTTATACATATATAGCCAATTTTTTTTTTTTTTTTTTTTACACTTTATGTTGGCACAGCTAAATCAAAATTAACTTATGGAAATAAATTATTATGTAGTGAAATGACTACAAATTATAAAAAACATCACAAACTTTATTACTTGTACTTTAGTACTAAAAAATTTTGGAAAAACAGGAAACAATCTTTTTTTATAAAAAAAATTGTATGTTTTTTTTTGAAATTTTTTTATAATGGTTAATTATTTTTTTTTTCAAAGGGTGGTTATGTTTAAAAGATATTCAAAATCAACTTTTATCAGAAAATTAGCCTTTGAGTGCAAATAAGTTTTATATTTGATGAATTAAATCGCCTTAGTAGCATTACCTTGTGAAAACTGTCATAGTTTTTTTCTATCAATCAAGATATGTTAATGAAATCATGCAGTTTTCATAAACACTTTATCTAATTTTGACAAGTGTAGATATTGCATAAACTTCTTTAAAACTAAAATTTTCGGAATAAAATCTTGTAACATTCTATTCAAATCACTTCAAAGTATTTAAATTATTTACTTAAAACTACTTTTTATGAACTACCATCTCAATCAGCCAACCTTTTAGTTAAAGTTTCAAAGTTTTTGTAAAATAATTTTTTGTAAATTAAATTATCTTTAATTGAAAAAGAAGAAAAGTTGAAAAATATTTATGAATAAAAACTTACAATAAATGTTACGAATAAATGAATTCTCTATTTTGAGAAAAAATAGAAAACAAACAGAAATCAACTTATAACACACGAGGGCTTAAACTGCAACAACTATATCTACAAAAGTGTAACTTTTGTAAAAAATAATGTTTTTTATGTTCTTAAAACTCAATAAAATTTGTTGTAAATTTTTAAATAGTTTGATTACACTTTAAAACACAGATCACACGTCGAATTACAATAATAAAAAATATTTATGCTCTCCTGATATGTTTTTGTAGATTTTTGATTGATTGACTTTAAGCTCTTGAACAATACGTGCCTAATTACCACTTTTTCTGGACTGCTAATTTATAAAAATTTAGGTAATAGAACTGAAAAATAAAATTATTTACTTGATATTAACAAATCGGTTAAGGAAATTTTTTTTTTAAGGTTAAAAAAAATATTACTTTAACATGTCAACTTTTGTCTTAATTTAATTTTGAATTAGTTTCAAAAGTGTTCATTTAAAACAAAATAAAACAATATTATAACAATTTAACATGTTTATATATTATTCTTTTTAATTTCTATACAGATGATAACTATTTAAACTAACTACTTCTAATACATGATAACCTAAAACTTTAATCTTAATATCTTCAACATTATTCTTTACTTCTTAACAACAAACAACTTCTATAACTTACAGGAGAATTAGAATCTAACTGATAAATAGCTGGAAGCAAACTCTGCAGATGTTTCATCATTTTCTTTTCTTCTAACTTTCTACTAAATAGAAACTTGTTATAGAGCATGTAATATAATAGTTAAACCAGGTGGAAAAAAATTATTTTAAAGAATGCATTAGAGTTGCAAACTAAGTGTAACAAATTAAAAATTTATTTTACTAAAATAAAAATTTAATGTGACAAATTAACTTGTTATTTATTGTAGTAAAAAAATTGTGTAATTATTAGATGTATTCAAATAAACTTTTAAGCCCTAGCATGATGCTCAAATATTAGTTTGTTAATAACAGTACCTATTAGCACCATGAAGAAGAGAATGAATCAATGCAATTTTTATTTTAAGAATTAGATTTTGTTAATGACTTTGTTAAAAAATTTGTTAATGACTTTGTTAAAAAATTTCCAATATTTCTAGAATCTAACTTCTAAGATAATTCGAAATCATCTGAGAATAATAGACCTTAGCACCAGAAAATTGCTTTTTGCATCGGTTTCTTGCAATGATAAAAAGATTTTTTTTCTCTAGAAAGATGTTTTTGTGGAAAAAATCAAAAATATGATTATGATTAGCATCTGAAGAGAAAACCTTGAGAGTGAGGCTTACCTTGATGTAGAGTGAGGCTTACCTTGATGTAGAGCGAGGCTTACCTTGATGTAGAGTGAGGCTTACCTTGATGTAGAGCGAGGCTTACCTTGATGTAGAATGAAGCTTAGATTTAGAGTAAGGCTTACCTTGATATAGAGTGAAGCTTACCTTAATGTAGAGTGAGGCTTAGTTTGAAGCCAACAAACAAAAAAAAAAACTAAAAACTTTTATGTTAGTCTGAATTCAAGAGATTATAAAGTAGGCCTAATTTTGGGAAAAAAGACAAAACACATCTGGACCAGGTCAAGAAGATCCAGAACCATCATTTTTGACAGGAAACAATGTAGCAGGTTTACCCAACTATTAGATAAAGAAGATATCTACAACAACATATTAGATAAAGAAGGGTAAATAAGAAAAATAGCAAACTTTACAAAACAACTGGGCATGAGGCAGTTTGTACTGGATTTCATGTTTCTAATAACAGAATGATTTTGATATTCTAAATATTGACTTGATTCAATTATGATGATGAATTAAATATTTAATTCTTTATAAACAAATGATAAAAAAGTCATTTGAGTTTACATACCATTACTCATATCATTGGTTATAATGAAACTAATTAATATAACCAATGATATGAGTAATGGTATGTAAACTTAAATTCAGAAGTAAAGGCTTTTTTTTTTGCAATTAGCAAATATTGATATATTTTTTTTTTTTGCAAAAAAAAAAAAAAAAAAGAGGCCTTTTTTCAGCAATGTTTCCATCAATGTATTATCACAGCAAGCAACAGCACCATAGGGTACCGTCACCCTAATTATTTTCCTAGAATAGCTTCTGTCTCTATAACAAGCAGCAAATGAAATTAACACCAAAGTAAAAAATAGAAAACTGATATACAAAATGTATATTTTGTGAATGATGCTAATAAATAGCATCCCATTTTAAATTCTTTCTATACTTTAAAAAAAAGGGTTAAAAGTTGAAAAAAACTTTTTAAGGAATATCTCTTTGATGTACCACCTAAACCTAACACTTTTATAGTAAACAAAAAACCTTCTAAGAAATAACTCTTGTACCACCTAAACCTAACACTTTTATAGTATACAAAATATTAAACAAAAGACTTTTAAACTCAACTAAGCACATATAAGCACATATATCCAAACTAAAAAATAGCAAACTCAAAAAAAATATTTTAAATTATTCTTATATCATATTAAAACAATACCTGCTATAAGTCTTTATTTTTTTTTTATTCCATGTTTTTTTAACTTCTAAAAGGAAATTTAAAGTTTATATTCGTAATATTTTTATCAAAATATTACGAATTTTCTTTTTAAGTGCAAAATGCATTTTTTACAAAATTTATAAAATAAGTATTGTAAATTTACAAAATAAATAAATATCTTTATTACAATAAAACATGATACATTCAATTTTCTTTTTTATTTAAATCAAAAATATAAGGTAATTTAAAAAACTAAATAAATAAAATCAAAAAAAAAAAAACTATTAACAAATAAACAAAATCATAATGTGATTTTTAGTAGCAATTTTTTTTTAATTAAAAACAATCTGAATTGACACATAAAAAGAAAATTGCTAACACCACATTTTGATAATAAAAATCTTTAAATATTTATTCATTTTGCAAAACTAAAACTTAAATCTTTACAAAAAAATACATACTTGGATAAGGCAATCTGTTGAAATGAAATTCAGATTTTTTTTCTAAATTAAATATAAAAAGTTACTAGAACAAGAAGCATAATTAAAAAGTTATCACCAAATGTGATATTTTAACTTGTTATCAAAGATAAAGGGAGAATTTATGGATAAAATTTAACTCTCTGATCCCCTTTTCCAAAATTCAATAATACATTCATTAAATGATTTTTTTTTTTCAATGTGTTAAAGGTTTTTCATACATTTAGATGAATATAAACATACTAGACATTTCTGACTGGATATGAAAAGTAACGTTCAATATACCTTTGTATAATATAAACATTTTACTAGACATTTCTGACTGGATATGAAAAGTAATGTTCCTTTGTATAATATAAATATAATTATATAATTAATTAAAATTTGATGTCGTAGAATTGTTATTTTGTGTTATTAACTGCAGCTATAATCTTTTAGGGCTTTTTGTCATATTATTTGATAACATTTTGTCATAAAATTTTGTAACAATGGTGTTAGATAACTTATGTTTAAAATGCTGTTTGATTTGTCATAAAAGTATTAGTTATAACAGAAAACCATTTTATTAAACTCTTCTAGGATATAAATAAAAGCAAATTTGCAATGGACGCTAGAACTATGAGAAATTTTGGCAATTTTTTTTTTTATGTTTATTTGTTTTAACATCTTTTCGTTTTTAAAATTTTTTTGCTATATTTGATATTTTTTCTCAATACTTATATAATAGGAAAATAAATAAAAAAGTTGTTGTTTATTTGTATAATATATTATTTGATTAATAAATTTTGTAATGACAGAATAAGTTGAATAAAAATTAACATGGTCTCTTTTAATAAATGTATTTACAGCATTTGATGTATGTCTGAAATCGTTTCTTTTATATTTCCCAAGTTCCAACGAATTACTAGAGATAATGAACTTAACAATTGCTCTGTTAAATAAATGTATTTAAAAACTTAAAAAAAAGTTCCTGAAAATTTTGTTGAAAAAGTTCAGCAAATTAACAATGCACTAGTCCTGAAGCTTTCGTCAATAAGAGCTTTCGTCAATAACAATAGTTCATCAGAATAAACTATTGGGTTTAAATGCACAATTTGGATAATCCACCAAAAGTGCAGACTTTTTAAATGGGAGTATTGAAAACAACCAAATATTTTATATTTAAATATTAGTATAAATGAATTTTTTTTTTTTTTTACATGAAAAATTTGTTAAAAAAAATAGTTTTTTTACAAATTAGTTTTCTTGCTTTCCTGTGCATTGACAAAAACAGTAAAGATCAAAAAAAGCATTTGAAAAACAAATTTAAGAATTGTCCACGTTTCTAGATCAAATTATATAGTATTTTCTTAATATGCTGAATAAAAAAAGTTGCAAAAAAATTGTATATCAAAAAATGTTTTTATTTTTGTTATATTCTTATCTGCTTTTTTCCTCGACTTGTATCAATTTTGGTAGTGGAAAATAACAAATGTTCTAAAAATGAGAAAACAAAAACAGTAAAATATTTAGGCATATTATTTTTTTGACAACATTTTTCTTTTTTTAATATTTAATCCTTTTAAGCTTATATTATTTAAATTTTCTATTTTGTATATATATATATATTTGAAAAATGCTTATTAGATTCAAAATTTGATTTTTTACTTTTTACAAACATATGCTTATAATCTTAATGTTACAAAAATCATTTATAGTATTATTTACAACCATTAACTTAAATTTTTTTTTTAGTTTTTTTGTATCCTCAAATGGTTTAACAAGCCAATCTCTATTGATGCCAGAAACACTGAACATGTAAGATTCATATCCGTGAAAGTTTGGCAAACTTGTTTGACGAGTAATATTACAAAAAACTACTTGGACACAAAATATTTGGCCACTAGTAATTCAAAGAATTTGACTGCTATATCTTTTTTCATAATGGATGTTTGATGCTAAAGAAAGATATTTGCTGAAGAAAGTAAAAAGGACATTTTATGTCAAAAACCATTGGCGGTGATCAGTTATCTTAGAATTACATTACCCTAATTCTTGTTTGTTTTATCGTAGCATGTTTTGTTTTTTTCATGGATTTTCATGGACCAAAAATATTTCCAAAAAACTTCTAAACTGCTGACTAAAAATTTCAAAATGTGGTGTTGGTAAGCAACATAAAGGTTTAAGCCCAAGTTTTTATCAATCAATTTACCGGCACCATTGTAGATACCACTATTACTGACAGTGGTATCAAATACTATTGTTAATCTAAAACTTGTAGAAAATACAATGCATTTGCTTCTCTCGTTTCAAGTCACCAAGAGCAGAAACACCAAGTAATTTTCTCTCACTGTAATCTAGAGCAACTAACACAAGCACAGCTAACTGTTCATATCATATGTCTAGTTTGTTTATCAACATTTTTCTATAACAAATTCTGTATATCAATATCTATAACAAATTCTGATTGTCTATCCATTGGAGGCTCATAATTCAAGTCCCACTTTAAACTGACATCTGCTTTAACAACAGCAATATTTTTCTACACCATTCCTGTTACCTCTGTTTCTACTCTTTCTTTTTCTTCATTATTTAGCTTGAATTATCTATTGCTTTTTACTTCTTGAATTTTTACTTTTGTCTCCAAGATTTTGTCATGCACGCTAATGGTTACCTTTCTGTCGCTTTTTTATCTAAAAAAAATGCAACATTGTCATCTTTCTTTTGACATAAGCATTGCTTCATGATCTCTTTTACAGCATTAGATAACTTAATATCAAAAAGACAAACTGGCTTGCCAAAGAAGTTAACACATTTTTCACCACCATCATGTTTTCATTTCTGGTTAATAAAGTTACAATAATGTTGATAACAATACAGTCGATCTCTGAATTTGTTAAATGATTTCAGAAATAAAAATTAATAAAAATAAAAATGCCATTAAAAAAGAAAAAAACTTCGGAAACTGCCTGCAATCAAGTAGTTTGGAACCAGTTGTTGATGATGATAGGTATCCAAGTAACCAAAAGTATACTCAAAAATTTACATAGTTTAAATACACAAAGTCAAAAAGAATGCATAACTTGATTTGAGTACACTTTTATTGAAAAGGCAGAATATTACATTTTTTTAATAAATTAAAAAATGGTTAACTACTTAATTAAATAATTAATTTAATTATTAAAAATGTCGCAAATTTATGATTATTTTTTTTTACGTTTTTTTTTTAAACTTTTTTTAAATGAAAAGAAATATATTTTTGATTAAGTAAAAAAAATTTTACTTAATGACATATTAATACAATAGATTCTTTTTTTTTTTTTAATATTTTAATTAAAAAAGGTAAGCTTAATAAAAATTAAACTTTTTTTTTAATTTTATCTAATTTTATTTTATTTGTAACTGAGTATAATTAACATAACTGTCATTTAAACTTTTGTAACAATAATTTGTGGCTTTTAAATCGTTAAAAATTAAATAATTAAATATTAAATACTTTTAGCAACTTTAAAGATATCTTTAGACGTAAAACCAACTTGTGTTGAGGCTAAACATTCAGTGCAAAAATTTAACCGTTTGGATGATAAAACTTTGGACACTTTATGCTTTATGTTTCTGAATTTCAGTTTCTGAATTCACATTTCAAAACACTTAAAACAATTTATTTCCTTATTCCTAACACAATATTCTTAACACTACCATGTTTTCCTTTCAGCAATGTAAATTGCCTTCATTTAATAAATATATTTTTTTGTTTTATTCTAGTTAATATTATGCAGAAATTATTACCTGTTTAGAATCCAGAGATCTATTTTGTGATTGATAATTTCAACCCCCCAAAATCTAGGGATTACAATCCCGGAGAGTTTTTCCAAAATCAGGGGATTTGGAAAAAACATCCGGAATTGCAATCCATAGAGAAAATTAATAATTATTTACTTGATCTAATAAAACTTTAGACAAAACTTGTTAGTCTAAAGTTCATATAAATAAGCTAAATAAGAAGGATATAATTTATATATTTAATTTTAATTTCATTTTTTAATTAAAATAAAACATTTATGTTTTACTTCAATTAAAAATATTAAAAATATCAATTAAAAAAAACTCATTTTATTTCTTAAAAAGATCTCACTTTTGAAATACTAACTTATACTATTTAGTTTAAATTTGAAAGTGAATTTTCATTTTCCACAAACAACAAATTGGTAAGTTTTGAAGTAATTACTGTTAATTAAAAGAATGGAATATTTACTAGTTTTAAAAAGCCAAAATATGAATAGAAATAATAGAATAATTAAAACTTAGAATTTTAAAAGTGTTTTAAACACTGATATTTTGTAAAAGCATAAGATTCCTTTGATTTATTGTTTGCAATATTCCACACATCACTTGGAATAAAAATAAATATTTATGTTGTAATTTTATTCTTATTATTACCTATTCTTATTATTATTTTTACCTATATTTTATTCTTATTATTATTTTATTCTTATTATTACCTATTCTTATTATTATTTTTACCTATTCTTATTATTACCTATTCTTCTTCTTATTATTATTACCTATTCTTTATTATTATTAATATTCTTATTATTACCTATTATTATCTTAACTAAATTAAAGATATTTCTGTTGTTTAGAATTTTTAGTCAAGTTGAGAAAAGAAACTTATTTTAAAAAGAGATAGGCGACTCATGTTGAAAATGATCACAATGACTGCATGATGATTGTAACAACATTGATTTTAGACCAACTACATGATGACAGTAAAACAGACAGTGGCAATGAAAACATGTCTGAAGAATTGACACAGGGTTCCCACTAGATACAAAAATTGAAATTCCAGGACTTTCAAGGACAGGACTTTTTTTGTTTTTCCAGGACATTTGCTTTATTAATTCCAGGACTTTTCCAAGACTTACAAAAATTTATAAAATCCAGGAATTTCCAGGACTTTTTTATAGATAGCCCAAAATAACACAAAATACGCTATTAAATGTAAATTAATATAGAAATCAAATGTAAATTAAAAAAATACATTACAGCTGCATAAATATAGCTACATCACTACAGCTACATAACTAAGTGTAAATTCAAAAAACATCTGAAAAGGAACTATTTTTTATTTGAAAGGAACTTTTAATGCAATTAATTTCAAAAACATCAGAATCATTTCAAAAGCTCATAATATAAATATCATTTTAGCAAAACAACAAAACAAAAACTAAAACTTTACTCAATAACTATGTGTACAAAAATGTGCTTTAAAATTAAGCAGTGAAATTATCATTTTCATAAATCATCTCTTTTTTCTATATTGTAAAAATCCTCGATTTCCTTTTGTTTTTCTTTACAGAGTTTCTTTTTTTCATTTGATTCTTTCAAAAGAACAAAACTACTTTGCTTTTTTGCATTTATGGCTAGCATATCAGACTGTTCTATCAAAGTAGTTATTTCACTCTGAAAGATTATGCACTTTGCTCTAACTACCTTTTCTCATCGTCCAAAATTTTTCGTCTGAAATTCCTACTGTTACATTTTTTTTGTTCTCTTTGTGATTGCAAATAGTCTTAATATCAACTACTTGCTTGTTTTACATTTTGCAGCATTTCTTTATTAATTTTGATACTATCAGGGGATTCTTCAAAGGAAGACAAATGATCTTCAATAAGACATAAGGCAATAAGGGATTTTTCTTTAAGATTTTCTACAAGAAGTTGTTTATTAATACTTAAGCCACGCTCAATGGAAGATTATCCATGCGAAAGCACAAATATCATTTTAAAAACACTCCAAACATCTTGATAAGCTTTATTTGCTCCAATAAAGTCAGAGAAAAAATGATCAAGACTATCGTTTTTAATACCAAAATCTTGAAATGATTTTTGATTTGAGTCTAATATTTCAAAAAATTTTAAATATTGATTTTTCGCTAGTTCTGCATACTTTAGTGACAAACTGACATATTTAACTAACTTTTGCAACAGAATTGAAAAACTATTGATACAAGTATTCCTTTTATTCGGATTTGAAATAAAAATTGGGTAAATAGAGAATGCAGTGCGTACTATGACAAACTTCAGGGGACTTCTCAAGGAGATGTATTAACAGACTAGCTAAAAACTATCCTGCTTTTTTTTTAAATATAACCACTCTTTGGTCACTAACTTAAATTAGCTTCATAAAATTTTAACCGAGCAAAACCAATATCAATTTCATTTATAGGCTTTCTAATATTTTTATCCATTAAATTTATTTGAAGCTGCTGGTATAGACTGTTACACTTATTTAAAACGTCTTTTAGTATGATTCTCTTGAGAAAATTTTCAACTATTTCACCAAGTATAATAGCCATAAACGAAACGATAGGTTTGTCTGTTTGAAAGCATCTCAAAAAATTTAAGTTTAGCTGGCAAAACAGGATCATGAACCATAGCTTTCAGTCTCTGCCAGCTTTTATTTTTTGAGATTTACTTTTCTTAAGACTACTGAAATATATTATAAACTTTTTGTATCCATCAAGTATAGATTCAGCCTTTTAAGCACATTTTTCATTTTCACACCACCTATGCCAACAAAACTGCATTGAATAATCAAGTGTCCCAGTGATGTTTTCATAGGCTGCTCTTCTACTTGGAGAGTTATGTAGAAATTGCCATATTGCTTTTAATAGATTATTAAGCTCCCAGCCACTTGCTTTTGCCCTGACTGTAAAATTGCCATGAATGATATGGAGACCACAGGTTCCAATATCTATAAGAGGATCAAGTTCTTCCTCTTTCCTCTGGTCTTTTAAATTATCTAGAAAAAGCAAATTTACATTTGGTCCATCTGATGACACTTGTAGAATCTTTGATTATCTATATCAGAAATACAGTACAGGAATGTTTGCATAACATTATGTGCTGTCGAGCGAATTATTTTATTTTGAATTTATGTAAAATGTTTTTTTGTTAATTTTATTTTAACTAATTAATTATTTTATTTAAAATTTAAAAAGTCAACTTTTTCTTTTTTCTTTTAATTATTTTATTTAGAATTTAAATAAAATGTTTGTTTTGTCCTTTTTGCTGAATTTTGATTAGTTAATACTTGAAGGAAAATTCGTATTACTTTAATAATAACAACTTTAAATAAAATCAAAGCTTTTTTTAAAAGCGCAAACAGTAAATAATTAATTTTTAACTTGTTTAAAAAAATTCATTTTATTTGCGTTGTGCAAATGGTTAGAAAAGCTACAAGAAAAATAATAGAAAAGATTGAATGAAAAAAAAAGTACAGTTAAGATTACGTTCTTAATAACATACAATAATTTTGAATAGTAATGAAATAAGAACTTTAATCTCTTAAGTTGAAAAAGAAAAACTAGGACACATTTAATATCTCATTCAAATCATTTCAAAAACCACTAATAATAGTTAATAATAATGTTATTAGCTCTTGTTTACAGATAATATTTAAACTGAATATTTAATACTAAGAAGACAATTGTTTAATGAACAATTGTTTATAAAAATTACTAATGTTACATAAAACGAGGTTTTTATCATTCAATTAATTGTTCATTCATTCATTTGGAATTTTCCGCAAAACATACGAGAAAATAAATAAAAAGATTTAGAGAAAAATAAAACAAACTGACTAAAGAAAAAATGTTCATAGTTGAATACATAATTTATTATACATTATTATTTTATTATTAAAATTTTTTTTTATTATAGTAGTAATAAAAAAAGAACTTGAATCATTTAGGAAAAAAAGATTTTCACCATCGAACAGTAGGACAGTGTGCCAAAATACCCAAAAATCCATCTCGAAATTGCATGCTGAAAATGCATAATGACATAATGATAATTGACATAATGATGAAAACATGTTCATTAGTGGAAATATATAGTCAAAAAAACATTAAATATTAATTAAAACGCTTTTTTATGCGGTTATCTACACGTAAATTTGACATGTGTTTCAAAAGCCTATTTTGCATTTTTTAATTATCAAGTTTCTTACTTTTAAACTAATTTTATTGAGTATCATTTTATAATATATTGTTAGAATCAACATTGTTTTTTTTGCTCAGGCATTTCAAAACAATTTAACGTAAGCTTAATCCTTAGTTTTTATTCATCAGTGGCAGACCATTTTCAATTTTTTTTTTGCTAGGTATCAGATAAACCATCCTTTAATATCATCCAAACATTTGATTATGTAAATCTAATGTTCAATGTATGCAAATAGCTGTGCATCATAAATATTTCGCCACTTTTTGCAATAAATAAAGTTGTTACAAAAAAATCATATTCGTTTTCTAGTATTTATTGCAAAACATGTTTTTAAAAAGTTCTTAAAACTCTAATATTTTGTAACAACTTTTTAACTGCAAATCACTTATGCAAAGTGTATAAATACCAATAGAGAACAATTTTTTTTTTAAATGTCACTCATCAAATGAGTTATTCTTTGCTTTAAAAGTTTCATTAAATAAAAAATTCTTTCTTTATTTAATGGAACTTTTAAAACTAAATAGAAAAAGTTAAAGCAATCAAAAAATACATTTAGATAAGAATTTAGAGTCTTCAATGCTTTTCGGAAATAAAACATTAGTGTTAATGCTAGATTCAAATATGACCATTGCTTCTTTTTAACTCCATAGAAATGCAGCAACATCAAAACAATTCAACCTGTATCCTGCATATAGCAATATAAAATTATCAAAACTTTTGTGCTACCTTAACAATATGATTTTCACTGACTACACTGTGAACATACCATTGGAAAGTTTATGTGACCATACAGCTTAAAGACATTGTCAAGTTCCAAATGATGTTTTAAGTATGATAGAAAAGTGTGACCTGGTATCTCTTCATTATAAAGCAGGTTTCGATGGTTCTACTGGTCAAAGCATAAAATGTTTGTTAAAAGTCTTCACAACTTAAAAAAATAGATACTTGTAAGTTTTGCTTTTTTGTCTAGAGACCGCAAAGCTCTATTCACACTTCTACTATTGGCATTACATGTCTCAGAGTCTTCACAAGTCAATAGGTTTATTTAGTGAAGAAGCTCAAGAAGTTAGAAGGAATTTGGAAAATATAGAGAACATCATTCCTGTAAAAATTCAACAATAAAGGTGAATGACTATGTAATGAAAAGACTTTTATGTACATCTGATCCATTTATTTCATCTTATAGAAAAACTGCTTCATCAGTAGAAAAAAATTTCTTTTGGGTGTTGTTTGTGAGAATTCTATGTTCTGGAACAAAGAAAAATCTAATTTTTAATTTTTAATTGTTATTTAAAAAAAAAAAACTTTTTTATATAGATTTTTAAGTTTTTACCATAAAATATGCAAAACATTCACAATATGGCTTGATATTTATTTTACATGGTTTGTATAGTTAATTTATAACAGTTCAATAATTTTGGCACAAAAAACAAGGTTTTGTACATTTGAAATTAGTTTAAATAAGTGAAGCAAAAAAACTTAATAAACATAGTTATGTTGTGTATACCACATTAATCAACAAAGTGAATTAATGAGTTCAAGGTTGTTTAAACAGAAAAATTACTGGTTTCTATTAATATAACCAGCAGATATTTATTTTGGGAGTTCAAAATAGCATTTTTAGTTATTTTAGGCGGTCATTATCTGTTGAACGCCCGTTATTTTCTACGATGTATATATTATATATTATAAATATATACATATACATATATATATATATATACATATATATATATATGTATATATATATATATATATATATATATATATATATATATATATATATATATATATATTTTAGGCATACAAACAATACACAAATTTACTTAAAACATTTTAAAAATAATACCTTGAAAGCCTTTTTTAATGAAAGATCCAAATTTAGTACTAAGTATATTATAATGAAATGAATTCAATGATTGATTGACATTTTTCTTCAGTCGCTTAATTTTTAATAAACAATCTCCACATGATAAATTGTGCCAGCATTTAGAAATTTTATTGATTGAAATATATTGTGTGTATCCTTTTTGTATGTAAACTGATGGGAGTAAGTAATTTTCAGGCAAATTAACAAAGCTACATCTTGGAAATGGTAAACAAATAGATTTATGAACTGAACATATATTAGAAGAGAAAACCTCAGGCTGTGTTTGAGTAAAATAGTTTTTACGTTTTGTAACATTTCTTTTTCTATTGATAGAACCATGTATACTATTTTGTGCATCTACTTGGGATTTTTGCACCACTTTGTTGTTAAAAGGAAGAAAACAGGAAGACAAGGAAGAACCTGTATCAAAGAAAAAATATTTTTTATAAAGTATATTTTATACCTAAAATATATATTACATAAATGTATAAAAATACTTATACTTTTGCAAAATCATTAAACCTAACTTTCATTATTACTATATGCATCAGAAAAGCTTAATTTAAATTTCAAATCTGGTATTAAAACCAAATAAATTTTAAATGCAGTGTTTTAGGAAATTAAAAAACTGGAAACAAAATAATTTTTTTCTCATAGAACTAACTCTAAATTAAGCTGCTAGAAACTACTATGCAAATTACAAAATTTTTCAAGCAACCTAATATTAAAGTTACGTTACTATAAAAACTATAAATAAAAACAGTGAAGACAGACAAAAAGCAAAGTAGCAGTTAACAAAATATTTTAAAAACATTGTTAATTATATTTAATTAGTTAAATTCGAACTCAAGAAAAATAATGACAAATTAATTATGCTTCATATAAATCAGTACTATTTTACTAATAAAAAATTAAATAATAAATGAAATAATAACTAAATAAATGACAACCAAGTTGTTACACCATCAAGGGTGTAACTAGAAATGTTAAAATTAACTTTGCTAATGACACTGTTGAAGATTTTCCAAATGACTCAAGAAACTAGTTTTGAGAATGATATAACTTAGCATAAGACCTCTCTAGCATAAGCATCTCTTCACTATATCACCTTTCTCGTTGTTCTTTAACTTTCTCCTTTTTCCAAAGACTGCACTTTTTTAGATGAAATTTCTGATAAAATTAACCATGACCTCTCTCTTTAACTCTGTCAATATTGTTGTTATTGGTAACTTTTTTGCTCATCACAATGAATAGCTTGGCTCTAACACCACTGACCCTGCTGGCACTAAAGCTTATAAGCTCTGCATTTCTTAATTTCTTACATAGTTAACTTTGAGACTCGTTTTCCTGACAACCCTAATCATTTATCTTCTCTCCTTGATTTATGTCTGGTCTCTGATCCTAGTTTTTTTTCTCCTTTAGGTGGTTCTGACCATGCAATCATCTCTTTAAATCTTTCCTTAGAACCTTTAAATCTTAAATGATCTTTTTGAATCTCATACTTCCTTTTTGATTTTTCTTTATCATTGCACTACCTACTACTACCCTAAAGTTGACTAGGATTTTTTTTATGATTTTCTTTGTGATGGTCTTTAGGCTGATGTCTTTTCCCACTAAGCTAAAAAATGCACCTCCTACATAACCTCCAGGATTCAGGCAGGAATTGAAGCTATTGTTCTTTCTTGACTGTTCTAATTAACACCTCATTATACTCCATAGAGTAGAATGAGGTGTACTTATCTTCTTTGAGCTCCTGTCTGTTTTAAAAATATTCTTTGTGTAATACCTCATTCTACTCTATGGTTTTCTTGTGCAGCTGCTATACCTAATCATAGTCATTTTTTTTAAATCTTATTCAAAAGAACAACTCTCTGGAGAACAAATGGCTATTTATTATTGCAAGAAACCAATGTAAAATGGTGCTGTCAGATGTTATGTTCCTTTATTCTTAGTTCACTTAAGTTCATACTTTATCTCAAAAACTAGGCTCTAGAGACTTTTTTGAAAAATCTTCAACAGTTGTTAACAAAAGTAGGTCTAACACTCCATCTCTCATTCATAGACTGATATTATAACCTCTCCCACAGATAAGGCAGAACTATTTGCAAAAAATTTTCTTATAATTCGAGTCTCAAATCTAATGTCCATTTTCTTCCTTTCATTCCAATTAAACAGGTTAACCTGTTTACCCATTGTTAGGCACTCAAATCACTCCAGCTTCTGTTGCTAAAGTTTTATCTTGATTAAACTTTTTTATGATTTGTGGTCCAGACAACATTCCTGTCAAAGTCTTACAAAATTGTTTTCCAGAACTTTTTTCAATCCTCCCTAAAATATTTAATAAGTCCTTGACTGAGTTTTTTTTTTCCTGCCTGCTAGGAAATGGTATCTGTTGTTCTAATTTTCAAAAACTCCAGTGAACATTCTGACCCCTTTCTGATCCATTCCCACTTTATTAAAGTTATCCTCGAAGGCCAACACTCTTCATTATTTCCAGTAACTTCTGGAGTACCTCATAGTTCTATCCTTGGTCCTTTTTTGTTTCTTATCTACATTAATGAGCTTCCTGACAACCTTAAATCTAAGTAAGCTCTATACATAAAGTCTTTTATTTTCAATCGCTTACAAGAATTGCAAGAACAGACAGCCGATCTTAAATCTGATTTCACTTCTAAAACAGACTAAAACAGGGGCTAAAAAATGGACAATGGCTTGTAAATTTTAACTCCAACAAAACTTAGTTATTTACTGTAAACAACTATCGCAGTACTGTTGACATTCCTATATTGAAGAATGGTAACCCTATCACTGAGTCCTCTTTACATCTTCTTAGATTATTTACTACTGACCTTTCATAGAAACCATATATACAATTGATAGCTAAATTAGCATCTGCTAAGGTTGCTTCTCTTTATTGTGCTCATTATTTTCTCTCTCCTGATTCTCTACAAATCTCTTATTTGCTCCTGTATGGAATACTGTTGCCATATTTGGGCTGGTTCTTCTAATAATAATAATAATAATAATAATAATAATAATAATAATAATAATAATAATAATAATAATAATAATAATATATATATATATATATATATATATATATATATATATATATATATATATATATATATATATATATATATATATATATATATATATATATATATATATATATAACTGTTGATTAATATAGGAGATACAAAAATGTCTTTTGAAAGTTAATATATACAACAACTGTTGTTAAATGTTGGTCTCATGTATACTCCACTACTTATGCAAGTCTTAGAATTTGTAATCATTTACAGATTTTAAAGAGTCTGTAATCATTTACAGATTCTAAAGAATCTGTAATCAAAAGCTAACTTTTAAAGAAGAATGTTTGGTATTCCATCAGAACCATAAGATTAGTTACACTGGGTTTAGTTTTACAGAACTATAAGATTAGTTGTACTGGATTAGTTGTACTGGTTAGTAGCGCTGGGTTTGAGTCCAATGATTGTGAATGCACCATCTCAACATAAAAATCAATGGTCTTTATGTTTATAGACTTATTAAGAAAACTATATATAAAGAGTATTTTTTTACCTTTATAAAACACTTTATAAGTGTTTATTAAACGCACTGGCAGTTTCTATATTATTTGTCGTTATCTCAAAATAAATACTTTTGCCATTTAAAGGACAAAAACATCCATTTCAACTCATTTTATGATTATATATATTGTTAACACAATTAAAGAACTTACAAACTTTATTGTAATTAATTAGTTTAAGCTCGATTTACTTTTTTATAAGTAAACAAGATTTGTTTGCATTTTCTGTTGTATTTGATACAAGCTATTTTGTGTAGATTTTGTAATGAAGTATCTTTTTTATAGAATTGTTATATAGAAATGAATATTTTTTTGATATATCTAGGGTAAAAATACCTCATTTCACTATTTACGAAAAGGTCAATCCCAATCGAAAAATAATTAAAGAAAATATTCAAATATTTGTCAATAATAAAAACAAAAGGAAAATTCCCAAACTTTTCTTTAAAAGTAAAATAGAAAGCATCAGCATCTGCATCAGCATTAATTAATGTAATCATAAAAAGATTTAGACTGGTATTTATCATTAAGGTATAAATGGACTGATTTGTGGTTGCTGGTTCTAAAAGAGTACTCAGCAGAAATTTTGCTTAAAAAAAATGTTATTAGAAAGATGATTGTGTATATATCAAATATATATATATTTGATATATACCAAGCCTATTGAATAGAAATAAGCTATGATATTTTTTATTTGGTATGTTAATGTAAATGTAGTTAAGCCAGTCAATTTTTGATAAATTAAAATCATCAACAATGATAAATCAAGAAATAGAGTAGCACAAATCATTTATAATCAATATCACAGAGACCAGATATTTAAAATTTATTTTGGAATAATTAGGTGGAGGTAGCATGTAATAAAATGAAGTTTTTGGAATCCAAAGAATAAGTCAACACAAATTATATTAACATCACTGTCATCTTGAGTAATCATCACTAACTTAATATCATTTTGAAAGCAAATAGTGACTCCTCCCCAAATTTTCAAATGGTCTTTATGATAAAATGAGTAGCCAAAAAACAATGGCATTGGTCAGCATATTGTTAAAAAATGTTTCACAAACAAAAACCAAAGCTGGATTGACTACCTCTGTATATAATTAAACGTTTAAAAGTTATTTAAAAGACTTCTAGGATTAAAAAAAATAAACTTCTTTGCATAAATTTGCATAAATTACTCATTCAACTTATCTTAAATCCTTTTTTTTAAGTTCTTTTGTTTTAGAGAATCAAAGTTTTTATGATTGTTATAGAATTATTTAGAGTTATTAATAATTTTAAGTTTGATGATTTATTTATCTTTATTTATAAACTTTATTTATTAACTTTATTTATGATTCTCAGATTATTTAGCTTATTTTCTCTAATTATCTAATTTAAGTACATCAAGTTTGTCAAGTGCTTTTTTTTATTGCTATCTTTTTTTTATTTAACACATGCTTCTTTTAACTAATTCAACACCAAAAACTAATATATTTTTTTCAATTTTGATTCTTTCTGCGTTTCAAGAAAGAGAGCATTAGGAATAGGGAATGGTCATTTAGTA